CCATCAAACCCGGAGACGGACTGCGACGTGTACAACGAGACGGGCCGTGGCCAACCCGCTCTGTGCAACCTTCTCACTCAACACGGGCGAGTATTCGTTCGGCACGTTCGAAGAGCCGTGGTAAGCAGAAGAGCGTACTTGATAAGTGTTTGTGTCCCACGCTGGTCGCTCTCAACCCATTTTTACAATAACGGATTGTTTCAATCTTCGATACTCTTATAAAAAAATGTTTTAAGAAAATCTTTAGCAAAACCATCTCGTCTTCATCCGCATTGTACGAGTTCCGGCCAAGTGAGTACCGACGCATTAACTCGTCGAAGTAGCTTCAACTTTCCCGTGTACTCGTTGTGATCTCCCACCACGACTACAGGCAGAAGAAACGACCTGCCGCGGACGCAAGAGCGATTGATAATAAGCCAATTCAGTCGATGGATCTCGCCCAAGTACAGTTCGCAGATACGCGATAGAGTCACGGCGTTCATGAATGCAACGTTCGCTTCGACATCATCGGATCGGCCATGTAAACACTTCATTTGATGCTGGATATACCGGAAAGTATTCATATTCATGCGTGCAGAAGGGGCACTGTACTTGTATTTTCTGACTTGTAGTCGGCTTCGACTGAAAACTTACGGTAAAAGGACGTCTCCATAGTTCGGTTTCCGCTGCGGTACTTGCAGCTGTTGTTTGCAAAAAATATGTGTTTATGTTTTAAAACAAATATTTTTCAAGAAAACGAGAATGGCAAATAAATAAAAAACTGAATACACGAACGTGTAAATGAGACCACCCAAAACTATTTAATAATTACGAACCTAAGTACGAATCGCGATTTTAGCACTCTAAACGAAAGCGGGGTGTCTTCTCTATCTCTTGAGCCCTTATAAGCTACCGAATGCTTAAAACTGAAGAAGTTGTGGTCGCTCAAAAATATTATCTCCATTTATGGACCCTCGAAATGACGATACATTTAGGAGTGTTAAGAGCTCAATATTTTTTTCAATTTTAAAGATTCAAGTG